GTCTAATTGGCTATCAATCCACAGGTCTAGTCCTGCAAATATTTATGAGTCTGTGTGAAATGTTAGCATTACATAAGTTAAGCATATAAGTTTTATTGCTTTGACATTTGTTAGCATTCTTTCTAATTTCTATTAATATTAAGTACATCTTTACATGACTGTGATAAAACTGTAGGAATACTAAGAAGTTTTCTGCACTACATCTTCATCTGCAGTAATCTGCAAGCTTTTCCAAAAATACAGCCTGCCAGAGCAATGTACAGTCAGTGCCACGTCTATTGTCTGTTTTAACAATTTCTCCTTTTGTCTTCTGACCTTATTGTCAGTCTCTTCCTTAATGTTTTTTAAATTCTTATTGGCACAGGTTTGCTATGAAAGATGTATGTTCAGAGCAGTCTGGGACTCTATTTTCTTCTCCTGTTTTTGGGTGGGGGAGAGGGAGGTAAGATTATAGATGGAAAAATGACAAATTATACCATGCACATTTACCATTTATTCGATTCTTGATTTGGAGCAAATAACCGAAAGGTTTCTTTTTGTTTCTGTGACACCTTTTTAACACAAAATACAATAGATCCCATATTGTTAATGAAACAATCCAAGCATAATTAAGAGCTTTTGCTAGTGCATGGAGTGAAATTGACATCCAAGCTTTAAAGAAATATCTGGAAAGTAAACTTTCATACCAAATATCAAACCTCATGTGAGAAGTTTGAATCCAAGAAAGTATTCATTTGAAAAAAAATTTATCCAAATCTAACCATAGCCAGCCAGTTGTTGAACACTTGGCCTAACTTCCCAGGCTACAATAATTTATTCAAAAAGCAGGAATTATGTAGGATAACGATTTCACGCAGGAGATTGCAGAGCTCACAGCAACTCACAGTTATTGGTCACCTAGGATAACACACTGGTGACAGATCTGCTGTTCAACTTTTGCTGCTAATTCAATATCTTCTATACTGTAAGTAGAATTGATCAGAGAATGCTGAAAGCATCTATTTCGACAAAACACATTTTCTTTTTCTGTCTATTAAGCAAGGAAAAGAGATAAGGACAAACCTGAGAAAACATAGGAATAAGTCAATGGAGTATAGAAAGTGTTAAAAAAAAAAAATTACAAAAAGAAAAAGAAAAAGAAGGCATAAATTGCTCAGTAAATGTAGTATAAAACAGTTATATCTAACCTGAGAAACATTTGTGATTGAGTCCTTTGTAATTTAAAGGTTTTGTGACATTTCAATGAAAATTTCCTGATTATAGAAAACTGAGTCCTGAACACATGAGTCGTTAAGCTTTTCTGCAGTGGAATAATCCCTCATCATGTACTTGTATCTTTTCCATTACCATACAGTAAATTTGCAAAGAATAGAACATATGGCATGTGTTCTTGGGTTCTTCCGTGACACTGCCAATGCTTCTAAATGGGTTTTTCCTGTTCGCAAATGCTGACTAAGAACATTAATATTTTAGTTTGAATTCAAATCCTTTCCTGAAAGTATATTTTATCCTTTTGAAACCTCAGATGCAAAGACTTATTCATATATTTTAGGACCCAAGAATTACAAGCAAACCAGTAAAATTATGTTTCTGTTTTTGTTCCTACTTCTCATGAAAGCAACAGCAGTTAGGCCAGTATAAGCTGGTAACATTTTGAGCCCCAAAATGCAAAGTTACTTATCCGGACAGTTAATGTATTAATGACAAATTTAGATGCAACTCTATATTTCTTTTTTTAGGGTTTTATCTTTGGAATTCCTCTTTAATTATTGTACAGCTGATTGCCTGATTTAGCCGCCATTCCTGGTGGAGATTCTTCTGTTAAAGTCTACTGTCTCTTGACCCTGGAAAAATCTTTAGATCACTGACTTTTGACAGCAAACCATTAGTGTTTTCAGACCAAGAAACATACTTTTTGTGCTTTTAATAAACAATGATAAAGATTATTAAATGTTTAAACTCCATATATTAACATATTAAACGATTACAAGATCATAGATTTGAGATGACATACATGGAAGAATTCAATGTGAGTCTGCTTGTGAAATTAAATTTAATAACTGGTTTCACAAGACATAAAGAGACACCAGGGCTGAAATTAAAACTTGAATTAAACTCTTTGACAGCATTTCGCATAACTCATGCTTGCATCACAGTTTTGGTTTTTTTTTTCCCAATACATGGCAGGGGAAATACCAGGGTTTTTTTTCTTTCAGCAGCTCTTATACTTTGAGTTGTATTTCTTGTGCTTTGACTAGCATGTGAGCTACTTTGCACCGTCTTTTTTTTGCATAAGAAAATAAAGTATTTTATAGAAGGCTACACCAGTGTTTTACCCTAAATAAAAGATTTTAGCTGATCAGAAACTGGGACAGCACCTCATAATTATTTACTCTGGTATTACATTTTTACAGAGATAAAGCTATGTGCATGGTGAGGTCTTTAAATTTACCACCCTTTGACTAGCTTTGTTCATATTCTTGTTCATCTTTCCTTTTCTCTTTGAGAATGATATTTTTGCAGGGAGAGAGACAGCAGAGTTGCTGGTGGAAATTTAAAAGCAAAACTCTTGAGAATTCTCTCTGGTCACAGATGAATTACCCTTTCTTTAATAACTTTCAACTACCAAGCCATAAATTCCAAGCCCTTTTTCCACGTGTACAAGGTGTGGTGTTTAAAGTTACAAGCAATAAATATGGCTGCATTGTATTAATCCAGCAGCAATTAAAACACTCTTTACTGTAGGTTTTGTGCTATGGAAAGGATAGTTTATAGGTCCAGAGTTTATCTAAAACCATCAGTTTTATCCAGACTGAAATTGTCCCCAGATGAGTTAAAGGTGTCAATCTGGGGAAATGGAAAAAGTCTGATGAGTAGTTTCTCACATCACATGGTCCCTGTTCATACCTATCCTTCTTTTCTGCTACCCTGCCTCCTGAAGACACTCCTTCCCCTCCCTGCAAAAAGCAACCTGCCTTCAAAATTCCCTTTACCTTTCTCTTGCTAAGGTCACAAGGCAACAAAGTGCTGCTACTGACCCCATTTCCTCTGCAGCCAGCTTCTCCCTGCTGCAGTGACCAGCAAGGGTAGCACTGAGAGTAGAGGAGGATGGATGCATGGCTCTGGCTGCTATGTTGCTGGGCATCAGAGAGGTCCTGCAGTCAGGGGACAGTGCTGCCAAATGGTCATGGAGCTGAAAGCCCAGCCAAGCAGTACTGTGGGAAATACTACCAGGACACTTAGGAGACATCCATATAATGATTTCTTTGCCTCTGTTTTCAAGATACACCTTCAGGATGTGCATGGGGGGGGGGGGGCCGAGGGGGG